GGGGGGGGGGGGGGGGGAGGGCAACCGAGGTGCACGTCCTTATCGGATGACGTGTGCTCTTGAAACAGAGAACAAAGTGGTGGATGAAAGATGCAGAGCGGGATATCTCAAATTGTCCTCCGTGACAGATACTTTGTGTGCCTTTCTCCAGCGCTGTGGGGTTTTTCTATTTCCAACACTTCTTGTCGGACGCCAAAAAGAAGCTTCAAGTAGCTGGCGAGAATCTGGAAGGCAGTTCCATTCCCTCCCCGTGGTTACAATCTTTGACGCTTAAGACCGCACCAGTTTCTGCACAGAAAATGGAGCCTTATAAAGCCCATACCGGGTTAGCTGACAGAAAGACGCCTGCCGTGGTCACAGTCCATCTACCACACCAAGGGTACACACACTTCAATAAAACAGGGACCCATAGAAATCATCACGCACGCGATAATAAATAAAAGGAGGAAATTGACCAACGAATGCAAAGACGCCGGAATGCCAGACGTCGCCGAAGACACACCTGACATGGGCACTACAACTCAGAAATGCAAAAACGCGCCCGATGGCCGTTGGCATGGTAGCTACCCACGAGAAGTGAGGAGGGTCATCTACTGCGACGGAATGTTCCGTAGAATATTCCGTCCTTCTCAGGGTATGTAACTTGCGCATAAGGGGACATGGGGCACCTACGACAACATCGTTGTTACAGACTTTGTAGTGCCACCTTTTTGCTGAGATGGAATCATGCGTGGAATGTTCCGGTCATTGCAGGCGGTACTGCATACCTCTTGTGTTAGAGGACATGCAGGGCCCCTTTCAGTTTGGTGCTTCGCGTACGTGTGAGCTCACCCTGGACGGTCTATTGTTGAAGAGGTTCATACCTGACGCTATCGTCCTGGAGGATCTGATACGCTTCGCTCACCCGCTTGAACCGGTCCTGCCCAGCCCGGCAGCAACAGCAGCGATCGAACACGCAAAAAGAACAAGCAGGTTGTTAGTAGACCAAGAAAGAGGAAGCACGTCTGAACAGACGTCACCAGGATGAAAGCACGACTTTCTCTGGCACCAGGAGTGGCAAAAAAAAATGTGTCCATCACACCGTCATTGTTTGGGAGCATAAAGTTGCGAGAACAGTTGGAGTGTTGGGGCTCCTTTTGGTCGGGAACCTTTGTCAAAATTAGTTTTATTGTTATTGCAGGCTCACTGGGGCGAAGTAAGCTTTCTTCACGGGAATGGTCAAAACGGAGGCGCGAGATCGTTTGTTGTTTATTGAGTAACGGCGAGAAGCAGGCCCGCCCCTCGTACCACACCGCGAAACCGGCCAAAGCGTGCAACACAAGCTTGGAAAACGAGTTGGGGGCACAAAACCGGGCGCTACGCCTTCCAATCGAAGCCAGGACCACCTGAATCATGCTCACATCCAACACAAACTGTTGACGCCGACTCTACAAACATGCGTTGTCTATGTATCTACACAGCTGCGGCCATCGCAGGCAATTCCAACTCGTCGTTCAAGTATGCTGACTTGGCCGTTTATCTATCGCGTGAGTCGTGCGCGTGTGCGTGGCGGGAGAGGGTCTACGTGTGTGGCAGGGGCATGTGCTTGACGTGGTTTGGCGGGAAGTCTGATAAGTGGGAAGTCCCGGCGAGAAGTTTATACCATTGCTCGACACTTTTGACGCGAGAATAGCTTGCAAAACTTGCTCCAGATCGAGCGGTTATTGTCAAAAGCAAAGGCTTCCAAAATGTTGGCGGCACTTTTTACTCCCACAAAGAACGTACGTGAGAAGAGTTTGCAACAATTAACTTTTCTCGCAACTTTATACATGCTCCCACAAGCAGCGGTGGTAAGGGTAAGACAAGCTATGATACATCGCCGAACTTGCTGTGCCGAGTAGGGTAAAGTCTCAGCGGACGAGCGGTGGGGGGTGAAAGGCACTGACCTCAGATTGCGTATCTCCGGGCTTCTTGTCTGGGTGATGCTGCACAGCCAGCCGGTAGTAAGCCTTCTTGATCTCCCTGAGAAACACCAAGCCCGCCCCATAACAAAGCAGGAACCATCCAACGAATCAAAAGCAGCAGCAACAGCAACAGCAACAGCAACAGAACCACGGGCATCAGCAACCAGACGTACGGTAGTTCTGCGAGATAGAATAATACCGCCAAATGCCCCACGCGGAGAGACTGAACGAAGGCCGATTTCGAGCAACACAGAGCACCCAAAACACGCGCCCGGTATTGGCTGGCTTGTTGCATCCGAAACGATTGCTCTCCCCTGTCCTACAAACGAGAAAGGAGTGGACTTCAGTACTACAGCTTCACTGCTGTATTCTCCAACGTTGTTCATCGCGTGTCAGTAGCAAACGTGAGCCAGACTTGCGGAGATATTGCTGGTTGCCTGTCCCTACTGCTTTCATGACGGTTCGCAAGAAAGAGCCATACAGTGGGTGGCCCGAAATAGTGCCGGTTTCCGGTATAGTGCCGGTGAAATTTCTCTGCACATACCGGCACTATATCGGGCCACCCACTGTAATTGGTTTGGATGTCTATTCTTGTTGCTCTGCTGTATCTGGTCGTGCGCCCCCCCATCGCTTCCGTGGACACAAACTCCCACTTTTCCCGCTCATTGGTTGAGGCATCTGCGCAGCTGGCGAGCTTCCCGACCTCTCATCTGCAGGCTAACCAACAACAGCGGTCGCACACCCATCTTCAGTGTGGCCTGCTTCACCGAAATATCAAACTCCACATTTGTGGCCCTCGACGTTGACAAAAAGAACATTTTCGGCTCAGCTGCGAAACTACCAGCTCCGTACGGACAGTCGGTTCTGCATATCACCATGCATCCCGTGAGGCCGTACCTGGCGGTAGCTCCCCAGTGCACCTCCAGCTCATCGTAGAGCACGCCGTCTCTGGGGGGGTTTCGAGCGTACGCAGGCGGCGTCGCCCCCTTGCCGCCCCCTCTTCCCCCCTGCCCCCCGCCCCCTCTCAAACCCCACGGGAGTGGGACCACGGCTCCTCCTGCACGATTTTATTGTGGTATGGTAAGAACGGTTTAAGGTATGGGTTACCACTAGCACACGGAGAGATGATCGTGTCGGGCGAAGCATCTCGATGTTGTTTGATGTGTTCGTGGAACGAACGGATGGACCCTGTGCACGAGCGAAACGATACAAGGACGATTCATAAAACCGCTTTCCCCGCCGCTCCTCCCCCCCCTTGCGAAAACACAGTCAGCAACGTACCGTAGGCTGCATGACGTAAGATACCACATCCCCCGGACCGATTTTTGAAGCTCGATATCTCCGAAACAAAGGCAGTGGCGGTGCCGAAAATGGCGGCGTTGGAACCGTTTTGTGCGGAGCTTTCCGAAAACGTGTACTTCAATTTCGGCACCCTATTCGTCGTCGACTACTCGGGCTTTGAAAATCCGGCCAGGGGGTGTGATATCTTACGCAACCTACGGTGGCAGTCACGTACACCGCGTGCCATCCCAAGCGTGTGTGCTCACCAGAGTTTTCTTCAGACCTGCACGATACAAAGGTTCGACGAAGGTGGGAGATTGCGAAGTGCCAGCAAGATATACACGGAGGAACCCCAACAAGTAGGCAAGTACATCTACGTCCTTTCGACAGGCCAAGCGTGCCTGGGGAGTGTTGTCTGTTATTGCCTGCACACAAACAACAAACACAATTGTGCCAAGAACTTGCCTGTAACAGCAGTTGTAGATGCAGGAACTACGTACCTGAGGTACCACTCGACCACATCGAAGCAGCAGCAGCAGTGCTAGTAGCCGCAGCAGCAGGGCGGGCAACGACGGCCGCCACCAACACCACCGCCGCCAGCGTAGCAGAAGCAACACCGACTACGACAGTCGCACGTCGAGCCGTTGCGCTCAGCGGCCGCGGTCGCGGGCGTCGGCGGCAACACGTGTGGTGGACAACCTGGCGTAAGAAAAATGGCGCGGGTCGGGGTGTACTCATGTTTTTGCATGCCTTAGCGGTAAGACCATTTTACCAGGAAGGCGCATTGTTCCCACAGGACAGATTACCGATGGCCAATCCGTTCCTTCCTACTTCGAGCATGACGGAGTGGCGCAGAAAAAAAATATATAGATAGTACCTCTTGTCGCAGACCTGGACGCCTGCCCCCATGAAACCCAACCAAGCAAACAATACCAAAAAAGGAAAGGGGTGAAAACCGAACGAGATAGAGGTGAACCCTACCCTCTACCCCTAGGCTACTTGCCGGCTAGCTTCAACAAACGTGACGGTCGTCGAGGCCAGTCACGCCACTAGACTGACCGACCGGCAACGAACGCTTCCGCCAAGCGGCGGACCCGGTGCTAGCCAAACGAGAAAGGGTATTTTTTCTGGGTTGTAATGAGCCGCGGAGCGCGAAGCGCGACCTTTTTCCCCTTCATCTATCAGGAGGGAAAACGGCTCTAAATATCGGCCTGAGTTCCGCCGCGTGTTGCAGGGCCCAAAGGTTGATTTCGTGACGCATATTTATCGTACCTTTCGGACCAGAACGAGACCTATAGGGCACCGCTTGACGATCTGTTCACTTCTGAGGAAGAAGAAAATTACGCGCTCTTTGTCACACCGGTTTGGTCGTGCTTCCGCAACAGATGGCCGTGCTTCACAGGTATATGTGACCCAAGATCGTAGTAGATCGCATCCCCAGACGCCCAGGAGAAGTGGAGAGGTAAAATGCCCAAGCTATCGGAGATTGCACACACACACACACACACACACACAGACACGCGGTAGAGTCCAAACCCCGGGAGGGCAACACATCAGCAGAAGGATAACAACAGGACGCTGCTCCGAGACCAGCTATCTATGAAAACTAGGAGGGGCCGACCCTATACGACCTGTGCGCCATGGGAATAGTCACGCGCCGTGTGTAACCTGGCGGGTGCTTGTTGATGTTGAGCGGTCCAACCGGCCGACTACTCCCAAAACAACAGCAGGGCGATTATCACAAACGAACACACCTTCTCATGTCCAGAGATCGCACCTACAATCGAGAGAAACCGTCGAGGGCGGGAGGGGCTACTGCTGCTGTACGTTATCGGGATGGTTCCCTGCGGGATCGGTTCAGGCGGCCTACTTGCGCCGCGCTACTGACTGCTTCGCAAAAGCCGTGCCCTGCCTGCTGTTGCTGCTGGTGGGTCTTTCGCATCAAAGTCATGACCATCAACGGCTTTGTTGTTTTTTGGTTCATGCTGCATGTACAATAGTAATGTCCCGGGATGTATGATACAATATGTAGACTGCTTGCTTTCACTTGGGAAACTCGAAAGGCTTGAGACGAATGTAGCGGGCAAGTTGTGAGCCTGACGCAATATTTGCCATTTATCTTGTCACAATCCTATGTCTACGCTGCTGGTTGTGTTCCTCGACGGTGTGTGATACGCTCGTCGCCATGTGCATGCCGAATGCGCGCCACTTCCAGATGCCCTGATGTGCGTGTTTGCGTGCGCACAGCAGGAAGACATCACATTTTGTGTCTTCGTGGGTGTGTGCATGGGCACCAACGCAAAAGAAACGACCGCATGTAAAGTGCAAAATTTTGAACGGGGCCGCACATACAACCATCGTCGCGCCAGTCGTACCGCTGTAGCCTGTCCCTCTGTGCACGCGTAGCTGCACCACAAACGATTCACGCTGCTGTGTGTCGGGATTCGTGCATCATCAGCATCGCAAATAGGACTACTGCAAGGTATTGAGTCGCTACCCAGCGGCCCATTACCCCGTCCTATCTAGTATGGGTGTTTTCCAAAAGAAGTGGTACTGATCTTGCCAGGTAGGCACAACACGAAATGCGGCCACAAGGGGGCTGGAAATGCTGTTCTCACTACAAGATAAGCACAGCAACAACAAAAGGTCGCATGTTGCTCTTCTCGACTACCGCCAACGAGTCGCCCTGTCTCGACCTGCGGCGATCGGGGATGGAGACACTTCTTGAGACTTGCCACCACTGCGAAAAGCGGACGAGATCACGCTGACCGTCTTGTCTTGGGGCTCTTGTGGCGGTCGAGCTGGATCTCTCGCTGAGGGACTGGACGGACTGCTGCTGTGGTGGCTGGCAGAAAGTTCCGACGAATGCCTACTCCCAAGTGCCAACAAACTGCACGTAGCGCAGAGGTACTGGTGTAGGTGAGGATATTCTCGAAAGGTGGCCGTCCCGCTCTCTTCAAACGCCGTTCATGATCGGGCTGCTACCGACAGCTTTCCCGCAACAAGTCCCGCAGGCGCCAGAACGCTGCTATCCGATAGACAAACTCTGCCTCCTCATCTCCGATCGCAGGTGGATCAGCATCGTCTCCCACCCGCGGGGCCGTTAATGACACACGGAACCAATCGACAACAGAGTCCCACGGGAACATGCTCGAACACGTGGTGGGAACAAGCTTCGAGCGTGAGATGCTTGCAGTTTTGTGGGTGTGGCCTTCGATATTTGACGTGTTCATTGATCTCTGCCCCGCCTCCTTAGCTCCTGCTCTCGAATGGCGGCGGTGCTGTGCATGGGCAACACTCGCCGGATCTGAGAAAGAGGAACTCGTTCTGTTCTCTTGTACATGTATGCATCTAAAAGAGCCGAGCCTGTTGTATAAGACCTCCTTATCTTTCGGTCCCCCGAAAGCCGTGTGGCCAACCCACACAGGCGATACTATGTAATATCTACATGTGTACTTATCGCACGGCTTCCGTGCAAACCCACTCTTCGACGGTACAACAGCAGCGGTGCACCACACTGCGCCGTACGGTACGCCACCTGGATTCCTGCGGTGCAAGAGCCTTTGGTATGTTTGTATGTTTTACACTCTACACGCTTTCTTCGTCTGAAGAGGACACGGAACAGGTCAGAATCAGTCTCAAGTCCAGGCCCGCATCATGCATCTCGTCTCTACACAAGAGCTGCTGTGGTACAAAAAGTACGAACTTACCCGATCAATGCCGTCTGCAAGATGGGTCCCATGATGTCGTGGATTGTCCATGCCTCGCATCATGCGGCACCTCCTCCCCTGCGGCAAAATCAACTAGCCCCTCTGCTTTGCTCTCGAAACCACAGCACAACGCAAGCCGTAGCAGCTCTCTCCTCGTTCTCCGTCCACCCAAAGCTCCGTCCTGACTCTACCCCAAAGAGCGTGAGAGCTGTGCCGAGCTGCCCAGCAGAGGCAACGGGCGGTGTTTATTTCGGCAAAGCCCCAACGGACACAGCAAGCCGTGTTCCCACAAGCTGATGCTCTGCACTCCACCGCTATTGGGTGCGATGAAATACAAGGAGTTATCCTCGAGAGATTCAGATACTCCGGCTTTCTCCTCCCACCCTTTCGCTGCGCTCACACGACACGGCGTAGCGATGTGACCTGTGCTTCAACAGCGTACCTATTACTCCGGTGGGTGAAGAGACAGCAAGGGGCCCCGCGAACACTCCGAACAAAGAAGATCGGGGTCCCACAAAAATAGAGAGGGGGGGCATAAAAAAAAAAAGCAGACGAGAGAGAGAAGGGGTCGGGCGCCCAGAGTGATCGACAAGCGTGTGCACGCACATCGACGAATCCCGCTTTCGTTAGATCGACACGGTTGAGGAAGTCTGGAGTCTCCTTGTCGTCGCAGTCGCCAAGTTCAAACAACCAGAGGTGAGAAACTTCAACCCTTTTAGTTTGGTTTGAAATTTGAAACCAGGAGAGAGCCGGCAAAGAGCATCCGGAGCTTCAGTTTCACTCGATGCTCCTCGTGGAGAGAGTCAGCGAGAGAGGGAGAGAGAGAGAGAGAGAGAGAGAGAGAGAGAGAGAGAGAAAGAGGAAGCAAACACAAACTCCGTGCGCAACTTTGTAGCTAGCTCGTGCGTGGACACATGACAGACCGTGAGACTATTGCGCAACTCGCGCAGCAAGTATTTGTTTGGGCGATCGCACAGGGTTCAGGAAACCGCGCAACGTCTGGAGCAGTTGCCACAGACTCCAGCGTGGTGCACACATGTTTTGCTGTGTGCTCGAGCGGTGGCAACACGCGGATAACTATGCACCCCCATGAACATCACACTCAAGCAACGTCTGTGTTTGGCCATTTCGATCAACAGCATAGACTAAGGCTGCAGGCTACCGGTGCTGCTGCCGTGCCGCGTGCAGCAGCAGTGTGTGTGAGCAGGGTGTGATTCTTGAGGTAGATCCACAGCGTGGTCTCTGACCACACCCAGCAAAGGAAGACAATGAAGCGGGGGTGTGTTCTAGGAGTATTGCTCGATGTCGCTACAGCATGTACGCACAAGCGTGACACGACCTCAAAAAGTGGCTTGTTCCCATTCCACTCTTGCAGGTGAAAAATGAAAGTCTTCCGTGCGCCTGGGGAGTCCACCCCCCTTCTGTCTGTTGTCTAAGGAATGAATGAATGAAAGTGGGCTGGTCTTTTACCAACCGGTCCCCGTGATAGACAGATTATGTTGAGTGCTAGGCGTGAAGATCCAGTGGTTGAACCACAGTAGTGTAGTTGTTGAGAGCACTGGTAGCAATACGTAACTGGTCGTGAAAACATACGCGATACCTCATTGTATATCCTCGCTGAAACAAACTGAGCCGAAATACGGGAAGTGGATGTGTGTTGTTTCCAAGATAAACACTAATGCGCGGACGGGCGGCCGGGTGATTCGAGTGTGAATAAATGCCAGAGGCATACCTGAAATTTGAGAACTCTGTCATAAAGCGTGTTGACCCCTTGTTCTCGGTATGTCCGGCATCAACGTGTCGGCGTCGATTTGCATCCAAACATTTAGCTAGCAAATGATATTTTGTTGGTTTCCTCTTGTCTTCACCGTGTACTGGCGTGCTGGGAGAAGGGGTAGAACCGAATTCCAGATAGTCTTCGGTTTAAACTCGGGCCCGAGAGTGAATCTATGCTGAGCCTGAGCAGAAATGTATATCACCTCTTTGCTCCATTGTTTCGCAGGTGATCGAAGCATAAAAATCATTAGTAACCATTCCGGAGCCCCATCTCCCCCCCCCTCTCCGTTATTCGCTCGTGCCGTGCTCGGTGTTTTCGAAAACATGGGGGCGCTGCTCGTGAAATCCTGATAATATTCCGTCGCTGGGTGCCTGCTGCGTGCCGCCGCTCACTGCAACGAGTGCTTGCCACGGAAGAAAACATACCTGAAAATTTCGAGAAATAACACTGTCACGTTTCGGGCGGAATACGTGTCATCATCCGGCAGATTGCGGGCTCAGCGTTGTCCCCGCCAGACCCCCCTTGAATTCTCAGTGAGCGTGGCCAACAGGTGGGGTTTGCAGAACGGGCGCCAACAATTCACCTTGCTCCCCTCGGGTCGTTGTTGACCTCCGATTCCTCTTACAGGGGTGCGATTCCTGACGTTGGACAATGATACAGGAAGGGACACCGGGCCATAGCTTGCCGCACCGGTGCAACATGTGCTGGAATGTGAGACAACACATGGAACGCGCTTCTCCCTCACTTTTGTCCGGAACACCTTACTGCATAGGTCCTTCGGGATACTTCCTGCAGACGCAGTGCATGGAATAACTTGCTGCAGCTGGGGTAATCTATGAACATTTTGTACCACGATAAATTTGAAGGGAAAATTTGGAGCTCGATCGGCAAGAAAAGAAGTATTCCCGCTTCGATTTCGCATCAAGCGTGATCGCCTGATACCGCATGGAATTAATCAAATCAGAGTTAATGCTAGTCGAGTGAATAGTAAAAGTACCATGGCCGGGGTATCGACGAGACTCACTCCACCTGGGTGTCTGGCTACGCCTTCTCCTCAGGGCAGGTATATCGGGTTGTTATGCTGCAAAAAGGAGGCGTTCCAGGTGTCATCGCCACGGAGATCAACTGCATGTCACTGCACTCGTCGGGGGTCCCGGGTCGTGCACGAACTACATTTGTAGTGCGTTCACGAATCATTCTGCTCAACACTCCCTAGACCTCCTTCAATTTCACTCCCCCTCACTCCGCCCATCGCCCGATTGATATACGCCAAACCCAATGCACCCTCAATTCACTCAGCCACACCCCGCCGCACTTCCCCGCCAGGAGGGGAACGGCTCATGCTATGTGACTCGGTGTGGCCATCTGTTCTGCGAGTCCTGCGCCTTCCGACACTTCGGCCAGAGCCAGGCTTGCCCAACCTGTGGTCACGGCCTCGACGAGTCAGAAATTCAGGACCTGACGTTGGGCCTCGAGCCGAGCTCGGTCCGTAGGATTGTGTTCGAGGTACCGTACTCGTGTCGCGTTCTTTGAGGTGTTGCAGGACATCATGCTACCGTTCAGAGAGATTTCATGCTTCGTAGTGTTGCGATCTGGCGCTGGTCTCGGGTGTTAAGCCTATAATAGGACTGCCTACGCAAAGGGAGGTAGTAGTTTTTCACGCAGAAAGACCAGGCGGGGGGCACGCATGACCCAACCCTAACCCTCACCTTCGCCGATTCTTACGTTACCCAGTGTTTTCACTTACTTTGGAAAACGTGCGTAGACGACCTGCTTGGACGAACGGAGTGCTATGTAACAGTTGGCGAATGGGAGAGTGCAAAGAGTTCTAGAAAATGGCGTGACCCGGTCTGCCGGTGTGCATTCGCATGGAAAGTTGAACATGTAACCTCACCCCGCGCTTAGTGCCTGCCACTCTGTATGCCCCCTCCGTGCGGTTATCTCACACGAGATATCCGTGTGAAGGTGGGCTGTGGCTGTACCATGGAGCTGCGCGGTGTCGAGGGCCGTGCATGATACCGCTGGGGCCCGCCTCGTGACCGAAATTTGTCGATCTCACAATGAATTCCTAGAGGTTTCTTCTCTCAGCATGCGATGTGTTTAGTGACGCCACGGAGGTGTGCCTCGCTGTAGTTTCACGTGTTTGACACTAGCTATCGAAGAGGACCGAAGCGGTTTCGTTGACACGGTATTCCAGGCTGTGCGATCCTGCCTATTGCATAATGCGATGTGTTTAGTGACGCCACGGAGGTGTGCCTCGCTGTAGTTTCACGTGTTTGACACTAGCTATCGAAGAGGACCGAAGCGGTTTCGTTGACACGGTATTCCAGGCTGTGCGATCCTGCCTATTGCATAAATACATGCCGAATCGTGTGTCGTGGAGGATTGAATGTGCCAACATCTGCTTAGAAAAAGACGGCCAAGGCAGTACCACGGGACACGGTATTGTACATTGTACGATCTTCTACTACGCACTTGTCGAACCGTGTGTCATAGAGGAATACATATACCAACATTTGCCAAGATAAAGGGCGACCGCAGTGTTATCGCCAGACACAGAATTCTAATTATTAGACCCTATTTACCTCGCTTCCGAATTACGTCAGTCGTGGAGGAGTGAATGCACTAACATTTGCTCAGACAGAGGACGACCGCAGTGTTTTCGCCGGACACGGCCTTCTTCGTTTGCGATCCTTTTCCGCCATCCTTTTCCTACCCACCGAACCTTACTGCCTACAGGAGCGAATATTCCAACATCTTCTCGGAAGACCTCGTGATCAACGCGCTATCATTCCAAATCAGCACCGTTTCACTGCCGTGCTTCCTTCCGGCGACACACTCGAATCCACCTCATCACCAGGAGGCCTTGAAGGAGCCCAACTACCACAGCTCTTCGCAGGCGGCCCTCCGGACGGCCGAGCTCGCCAACGAGACTCTGGGTTTCCTGTTCTCCCAAATGCTCCTCGAGAGCCAGAGGGGCGCCGAGGCCACCTCCCTGCTCAAGGGTGAAGTGGCCAAGCTGAAGCACGAGCAAGGACGCGTGACCATGCAGGTAAACCACGCGCCGCGCGCAGCAGGTGGAGCGGACGGTGAAAAACGGTCTACCGCGCAGGATTCCATGCGACGGGAGCTGTAACATGGGGTGGGGCGAGAGCTGCCGGCACGATGCGACCAGCGGCATTTTTTTTTTCGCCTTTGACGAGTGGTGCTACTATTCGGCACCTCATCAAGCAATTTCGGGTGGGGAGATGCACTCAACGTTAGCCCATTGGCCGCGTCCTAGTTCGCCGAAAGATCACCGAAACAGGACTACACGCTGTCTCCAAAAAGCATAGGGTTGCACCCAGGCAAATGCCACTCCCCTTCCGTAATATCAGCCGGCAACAGGTGGACAGACGGTCACGAACGGTCTACCATGCACGACAAAACATCAGGAGCATAAGCATGGGTTGGCGGAGCCAATACGTGCCGTCATGGTGCAACAATCGGCCTACATATTTCCGCTTTGACGGCCATCGACCCTATTTCGATCGTCTGCTGCACAGCGGAAGTAGGCGGATACTCGTTTGTCTGTAACGGAAAGGCGTTGCTGTCCTGTGGATGCAGATGAGAAACCAGAACGCCGCGGCCGACCAGAAGCAGCGGGAGATGGAGCACAAGCTCCGCGTGAGGACGAAGGAGCTCGTGGATCTACAGGTGACAACATCAACCTTTGAAACCTACGACAGTGCCACTCTGTTTCACTCGACTAAGAACGAAATAGCCTGCAGAGAATGTCACGATGGTCAGTCAACTGTGGTCATACTTCGGCGCGATCTGAAGCATGGTGGAGCGTGTGAAAAAATGGGGCTCGAGGGTGTGGAAACGGGCCAAGGCGATTGTCAGGCCGACTTGTCCTTGGTTTACGATCGATAGCAAAGAATCACGGCGGCAGTTTCTCTCTCCAAAGCGTGCCATGGACTGCTCTTGTCTCTCGCGCTCCAAGAAAAAATGACCGCACGACACAAGGATGAAAAAATACGCTTGCAAACGTGCCGTGGTGCCTCCAGCGTTTGCGTTCTCGCCCGGTTTGCAAGGAAACGAAACGCGCGTCCATTCACAGCAGAAGGAGGCAGTTTTTCCTACTTCGCCAACGGCCAATGTCCAAGCTTCCTCCTGGGTATCGTAAATAGAACACCTTGTTGTATACACTCGATCGAACTCACCTCTAGCGCAGCAATCGGGGTCCCCACCTTGGAATAGGCTAACCCTAACCCTAACCCTAAGTCGTGATGCACGGGGAGTCCCCTGTGTATGCTCCCTCCCATGAACAAAACGTTCTACATGTGGCCTTCTTTGATAATGCGGCCAATGTTGAGAGACGAACACATGAACACGGCAATATTTCTTCTGTGAAGTTTACATAGCCACAGTAAGACGACCGGTTGAGATAGTGTTCAAGCGTGAGGGGATTTGCTGAATGAAGTATTTGTAACGCCCGAGAGAAAAAACGACTGGGTGTATTTTGTTTGGCCAAGTTATGCCTGAACATTGAATCGTTGTCACGCGCAGGAGGCGTACAAGGAGAAGAACAGAAAGTGCCAGGCTTGGGAGAAGGCCTACGCAAACCTTCGCTCTCAGGTAACGCTGTCGCTCCTGCTCTCCTGCTTCTGTTATTGTTGATATTGTTGAAGATTGATGCCGTCGGGGCTGGTGTTGCTGATTGTCAGGTTCGTTGTTGCCGGGAGGGTTCTCTTGCCGTTGGTTCATTCGTTTTTTTTTGCTCTTCACCTTGTCGTTGCAAGCGTTGTTATATTCGGTTTCCCGGTGGATGCTCTTCCTTTCCCATTTCGATCGACCGGGATATACTTCTTCGCGCTTTGCTGTCTGCTGGTCGTTAAAGTACACTCCCCTGCATTGAGGAACTAGAACCGTTGTACATAGCATACCCCCGCTCTCTTCACTTGTTTTGGGTCCCTCAGTCGTCCCTTTTGCCCGAACACCTCGCACGATGAAGTACTGGAAGAAGACTGATTGGAACATGGGAAGGATGGATCGCCTCCAAACAACGCTGACCTTCGTCCAAACCCTCCACAAAGCCTTGGATACAAGTCCATTGCGTCCAGATTCACCCAACCGGCCGGCTGGCTTGTAACGTTCCCGACGATTCGTGCTTCCCTCCCTCGTTTATTGTCGGTGTATCCACTCCGTCCCCCGATTGTCTTGCAAACACATGCGTCTATTTAACCCGTGCCTTGACTATCGCTCCGAGGAAGACCACCGACCCCAGCAGGGGCGGCGGTTTCACGCCTCCAGAATCTCCGCGAGCGGGCGCCATGCGCGGCCCTTCCGGCTCGTTCAACGGCGGACGGGGAGGTAAGGGCGCGGCTTGACTATTGGTTCCTCTGCGATCCCCGCCTTCCATCTTCGACAGGAGACCGAACGCATTGCCCAGAGTTGCCGAAAAGGAAGTATCTGTAGCCTCCATGCAGGCGCGTGGTGGATGTATCCTAAACGTTCGCGACGCCTGTTTCTGGACGAGCATAAAACGTGAAAACGCCGGCTCGAACGATGGTGACCGGTCAATGCATCTCAAGGACCACTAGTAGACAACCTAGCCCCTGTCAACATAGCACGCCTCGCGTCTGGTCGGGGGGAAAGTCAGGGTTCTCTTCCCCTATCCCCCGGGTGTCATCACCCATGGAGGATTTCGCGCAACGAGTGCAGGGTTACCTAGTGGCGGGAGGTGGAGGTTCACACTGTTGCTTTCGGCTTTCCGCCGTCCAGTGACATGTGGTGCGTGTAAAGTCGACCCATATCATGATCAAGCCAGCCTTTGCGACCAACCCAAAGTCAGAAGGTCTGCTTCATTATGACGGATGAAGGTAGAGGTACGGGGAGTACATCATGGCAGCATCTAGCGCTGGCAGTATCTACAACCTCAGCCTCAGCAGCGGATGACACAGTAGCTTCAGTAAGATCGTTAACGACCACAGTGAAAGCACCGGTTACGGCAGCAGCAGCAGCAGCAGCAGCAGCAGCAGCAGTAACAATGGCGACAAAAGCAGCACCGTGTATTTCATCAGGATCGATGCAGCACCGAGGGCCTCCTCGGGGAGTCGCTAGTCCTGGTGGCGGCGGCGGCGGCGGAGGTGGCGGTGGCCTCGGCAGTGCGGGCATGACGCGCCCTGGTGATCGCATCCGGACCAACTCTCCTCACTCAAGCAACAGGTGGGGTGCGACGGGATTACTTTGTGTTTTACCCTGTAAAGAGGTTGAGAGGATACGATAGGGTGGGTCGGTCTCGCGAGTGCTGCGTGCTGTTGCTTGGATTGATGGTGGTGTTTGGGGTAGAGTCAAGGCAAGGAGCGGCTTTGTCGGGCAATCGATCGACCAACGTCATTGGAAGAGTTGCTTAGAGAGACCCGCAAGCGAGTTCGGGTTGCGCGTAAAACTATTACCACAAGCCACCCACCTACCCCTGTGCTCTTACAACCCGTTCAAACCAAAACATGTCAGGGGTATAGCAGGCTACGCAGCGGGCGGCGGTCGCAGTTCCAGGCCGTCCTGGACGATGCCCCGTCCGAACACGTCCCGCGGCGGCGGCGGAAACGGCGCCGCCGGTGACCGCGTTAGCCCGATGCTGCGGCCGCGCGACGGGCAGGGCCATTCCTCTCACTCCGTCACCCCATCACCGACCTTTTCCGCCCAGCAGGGCATGAGTGTGAGTGTGAGATTGTGTGTGCGTGTGTGTGTGTGTGTGTGTGTTTGGACGTGCGTTTCGAACCCTGGGGGGCGGTGTGTGCTTTTGTATTTGTAGTATCGACTGCGCAAGCCGGCCGACCAAGTATGTGATGTCAGCGTCACTGCGCTTGAAAAGTCAGGGTGATTCTAATATATGACCATGATCTGGGGACTTGTGAGAGGGCGTCATAGGGGAGGCTATGAGTGTGCGTGTTCGTGCGCGTGCGTTTCGGAAGCCTCGGGGCGGTGTGCGTGTATGTGCGTGGAGTGCGTGTCGACAACCAGCGAGCGTCTCGCGAACTCGCTGAGCAATAAATATACGTCGATGTGTACGACGTGCTTGTCTGCGGGAGCGTCCTCGGTCGTGTGTGTTTGAGATACTCGCGACGTCGTGATGACGGGTCGGATCACGTCCAGATGTGGCCGACCAGCCGCAGCGTGTACGGTGGGGGTTCCATCGATCTGTAAGAGTATCTTTGTCCTCCCTTGATTTCTGTAGGGCCGTCCTGGTATCGCACGCTAGTTCAAGGGAATGTGCCATGGGGCGTCTAGCGATCGCCATCAGGAGGTCCAGGAGATCGCTTGCGTAAACTGTGATACTCATTTCGCACTTCGCTTCCAAGACTTCTCGACGTCTTTTTCCTTGGAGGGCTCTCTTGTGTAGGTACCAGCTTCCGATTGGTTGGCCTGCAAGTTACACACCGGTGGTTTTAGTCCGTTGCAGTACATGGTCGCGCTAGCGATACCTTCTGTCACGTCTCCATGGCTAAGGAGACTTTCAGCGTCAATTGGCACTTGCTGCTTTATCTTCCACGTCGGATTCCTCGCAACTGCATTTGCATAGTTCTCGCGCCTCACCTTTCATGTGTCGCTCTGCAGTCCGGCGATCACGAGGGCAACCGGCAACGCTTCCCCCTCTCCCTCCCTCCCTCCCTCGCTCCCGCCCTCGCTTTTTTTTTGCCCTTTCCGTTTCGCCCTCCCCCCGGGTATATACATGTATTTCATGGATCGCTCTCGATGACGTACCGACAAACAGGGCGGCCGGTTCGCCCCCAAGAGGCCGGAGACCCCATTGGAGGTCCGGGGCTACTACTCCTCCCGCAACGCCTCCCCCGGCAACCGGTCGAGCGGAGCGGGCGGCGGGGTTGGCGCAAGAAGCAGCAGCTTCTTTCCGTCCTCCAAAGCCGGGTTGTTCTAGGCGGAAAGGCGGCGGAAAAACCTGAGGAAAGGCGGCGGAATATGTGGGCTCGAGCAACGATGGGGGCTGAAGGGAAACTTGAAGGCTGTGTGGTTCCCCTGGAATATTCAAGAACCGCGCCTCGTCGAGAGGTCTTGGAGTTGCTCTCGGCCAATGCGAGGTTCTGCGCGGATGCTCGTCGTTGCCCGAGTCGACGGCAGTGGAAACTTGAGCTGATGCGCCAGGGGAGGGACTCGTTTGCTCACTCTTTCTGTCTCTCTGGTGTGTCATGCTTTGCGTGCCTTCGCGCTTGCTTCGTTCGATTGCCGAGGGGGGGGTGGCGGGGCATGGAAATGCGACGAGGTCTCCACCCCCCGAGAAAACAACGGTGTCCGTCGTATTACGTCAGTGGTGGCGTGAGCGACAAAGAGGGAACCCCACACGCACAGTAGTCATCGCAGGGACACAACGGTGACACGGGTTGGACAAAAACGAACATGGTAGGTGTATCTGTCGCACGGACGTCACCGTCACGTTGGCCCGGTTGGTTGGACTTGACTTGGAGGATGCCCCGAATTCGAGTGACGAAAGCTCTGAAGGAAGGTTGCAGAAGCTGTCGTGGCGAAGTAGGAGATGAACGTACTTGGCCAAACCCGGGCGGCCTTTCGTTTGTTAGATGATCCTGTGGCGGCACAACGGTGCCGAAAACCCGAAAATCGTCGACCAGTCGTTGTGGCGCGATGGCTAGGCTTGTTTTGCCCCCTAGGCTTAGTTTTATCGGATTCGCAATAGCTCTGCCGGGAGGAGTCTGCGGTCGAGATGGAACGGAGACGAGACACCGCGGAAGCCTTGAAGGCGAGGAGTAGTGTTGGCAGGGGGCGTCACCCCTACCCAGGGCAACCGTGCTGCATGGGGGCATGTGTGGAGGAGGGAATCATCTTGTCCGCGCGAAAATTTTGGCGGTAGCGATGATGAGAGGGCTGAAAATATGCGTTGTCATTAACGCCCAACCATTGATACATATGCCCAAATCCTACCTCTGCTTGCTTGTTTTTGGGGGCAAGGCCAGTCAGCCCTAGAGGGAGGTGCTGGTGGCGTGATTGGGGGGCATCTGGAGTTGCATGTTGTTTCTTGACGGCATCCCGCCTGGGTGGATATGTCGACCCCGATAGCTGGAGAATCCTGGGGTGGATATGTTGACCCCGATAGGTGGAGAACCCCGGTTTCTCAGTCAGCATTCGTCGGCTGGGTAGTTGAGAAAGGAGCCCGGGTTGTTTCCGTTGTGCTGGCTGTCGGAAGTGGTGACTCACGCCCGTCCACGGCTGTGACAGCAGCAAGAGAGTGAGTCTGCCGCCTTGCGTTATTCTAGAGCTTGTGATGGGTGTATGCGTTTGTTCGTTGTGCTTGCCGAAGAGTCCCGTGGGGTGAAACATCTACCTCGTAGACGAAGGCTCTTCAGCGGGCGAGGAGTGGGTGCATACGGTGGTTTGTCGCTGATACCGGGGGATTCGCGTGGTCGGAATGTACCTTAGCATAGAAGGGGGGCACGGAGAATACAAAACGCCGTGTGTACACCAGGAAAACACCTCAAAAACGGGTGGGGATCGAAGTTCAGCGTAGGGTTCGGGGGCGTCCTTTGTAAAGACTGCTGCGACGAAGAAACGTGGCCGGCGAGGTAGAAGGCCTCGATGGGTTTTCCAAGGCACAACAACATCGGCAGTTGTTGCGCTGCTTGGTTGGCCAGTATGAGAACCACGTTTCGGGTCAGAGCCGAGAAGCGATTGGGCGGACTGGATGCGCAGAGACTGTGACGGGGCTGACAGGCGAGGAGACTGGTGCAAGCTCCGTGCGCGTCGGGCGAGCTTGGTTTGGGTACGCGGACAGATGCCTGAGTAGTTTGTGCCCACATGGATGGATGCTTTGCGTCTCAACTGTCACAGCTTGCCAATGGGCTTGAACCTGCTATGGAGGGGTACACGAAACAGAAACTGATTGTAGACTCGTGAATACATACCTGGCCATGTATTCTCTGCCTTGATCTCGTTGTGGGTATGATGGTGTCTTGTCCTTCCAACTGGAGCTACATCGGTGGGACTTATGACCGGCACACGTTGAGCATTACCGTGGTGCTTGGTTGGCGTTCTGTGTGTTTCTGAATAGCGTTTGTTGGCGGTCATGGAGGTACGGGTAGGTTGGGTTGTTGGATAGATAGCGGCGGGACGGAACCGTGCAGCAAGGATCGGAGGGAAATATGGCAGATGGGCGGGAGTGCGATGGGTCCACATCACGATGATGGCAACAGCAGCCGGTCACGTGGACCCTTCGCAGCCTTGAAGCCACGACTTCCTTGCATCGCACTTCAACTCGTAGACGCTGTTCGAAATGTCGAGTGCGTTGGGTTCAGCGATGTTGAACGTTGAGCAGAGCTTCAGACGGGCAGAAGCTACCCTTATCATGTACCCGTCCCGATTTATGTCGCCGTAGCGTAGGCAACTCCGCAGATACTCGCACGAAATATACAGGACGTGAGCGGATGAAAGATGGCGCAGGAAAAGCTGAACTATGATATTGAAGCCTACGGGAAGTGTCCCATATCGGCGTGCCAAGCATCCCTTGCTATCGCCCAGGGCATCCTGTGTTCTCTAGCGGGCCTCCAGGTCCGATCTAGTATCGACTCACAGAACCCACGTTTCAGACCACGAACATCGCGTCCTTCTGGCAAAGGAGTGAGGTATACCCCCATGACCACGTCCGGCAAAGTAAGGCAACAACAACTTCCCGGAGCCTGCATCGCTGTCCTAACCGCCGACACGTGACACGACAGTCCAGTCGACTTGCTGACGCGGGAGATTTTCCGTACGTAGTTTACTCGCCTGGAAAGGTTATCTTAGGAAGATACGAAAATTGAGGCGGAAAAAGGGGTGCCTTCGATCTATTGTCTACGTAGCCAATTTAGATCTCGAACAGACGGAATCAATCAAAGGCAACACATACCCCGTTCATGTCATGTCGCCGTGTTTGACGGGGGGGAACCTGGGTGCGAAATGCGCACGTGTACCCTACAGTAAGCACAGAATCAAAGGAGAACACCCTTTGATTTTCCACCAATTCAATGATGTACAATTGGAATAAGTCTTGTTTGAGAGTAGATGTGACAGATTTGCGTAGAATAGGGTAAGATGTTATCATGAACGGAGAAGAAAGGGCTTTTCCAACACGGAGATGTAGCATGGATCAAAGTATTTGTTGGATTTCAGCTTTTACAAGAGGACATCAACGCAGTAGTATTTTAGCAAGCTTACGAACGCATGTAGGATACCATGAGGATTGTCATTGGGTTTATTTCAAGTTGAAGAGATATTTTTTCGATGTGACAGTAGAAATAAGTCCTACATATGTTGTTGTACTTCGTATTGGTTTAATATTCCTGTAGAGTATGAGACATTAAGTGAAAGCTTTCTGAGGTACATCTGCAATTGTCGGAAGGCAAAAAAAAAATATGGAATAAGCATACCAAGAGGGAGAAAATCGAAGCCAAAATCAACGGTGGTGAGAAATTTCACCGGCCTGCACGGCACGCAGCACACGAGTGCTCAACACATAACATTTACTGTCAATATTTGTAGTCTGGAGCCTGTGGAAGCGGTGGCCGAAGTCGATTTTGGGTCTTGTGCTTCTTCTAGTTTTCTCCACTTTACAGATTGTGGAGTTGAGATGTTGAGGGATACTCGAAGCACCGTAGTTGGGAGTGAGCTTGCGTGATCACGCTACGATGGCGATCTCCTAAGATCAATAATTAATATATTCACGAGCTCCTCGCTATAACTCGTCGCTACATGGTAGTTCTACCAAACGTCACTTGTCACCCATTACATACATCGAACCAAGACAATACTTCATTCCCCCCCTCTTTTTATTTCACAAGTATTTATGACCAAACGAATCCATCATCTATCAAAGAAAAGAGTCTGCCATTAGTCTACACCGAACCAACCCAACTTTGATGTCTATCGTACACTATGCTTCATAATTGACTATTTTTACCAATACCAACTTTTGTGCAACAATAGCAACCAAAGTCAACTCCGCCCATACGTGACCCAATTTTCACCCTATATTCATTGCATACCATAATCATTTTTTCACCTACCCCAGGAAGACGGATGCACCGTATTTCATATCACCGCATCTACTTCTCATTGCATACACCGATTGCATACACCAATCATGCAGCTACATCTGACTACTGCACAGTAAACACATCGTACAGTAATCATCCGCTGTGTTTCATCACAGTCACGCAGTGTGACACTTAGCTCTCTAGGGAGGAGCGCCGCTCATCTTGGCATCATGCCCGAGAATACAGTGCCTTGCCATCTCATATCAAGCTACCACTTCTCTACAGACTGAATGGAAGTTCAAGCAATAGGTGCACCATCGCCGACCGACGAGGCATATATCAGCCACCGGAAAGAAAGTAGCTCCACCTGGGGCTTCTTGTCTATTGCCTCTCTGGAAAGTACTAGACAATTTCCCAAGGGCCAAGTGTAGGGGAAGCAACGGAGAGGCTGCCCCTGGAGCTCTTGGCACCCGGCCAACGACCAACTCGCGGACTCATTGTGTCATCGGCCCACCCAATGAAGGGAGGAGATGGGATGGTGTACGGCGTTGTTTGACGGTTGTCCGCGTTTCGCAGACAAGTCCACACTCGAGAATGCCGCTCGAGCGGTAACACTCAAGGCCGAGGGCACCCCACCGTGAATCAACCACGTGGAGGCTCCACACACACCATGCTCGATTGGGCGGCAGGAGTGCCATGTTCATTAACCTGCAAAGGAATCAAAACTATGGTGTAGGCGAATACGGATTTAGTATCGGCACGGCTACTTGGGACAACACGTCTAACTCGGCGTAGAAAGCTCGGATCGACCTCAAACCAAGTTTGTTGTAATCCTACTGGACACAGCTTTCACGGAATGTATTTTGAGTCCACAACGAAGCCGGGGCCGAGGAGATAGAGCCTAAAAAAGGGGCTCCGTGGCTTCCGTAAATCCACGTTTTCCTCCATCACTCGGCCCAACCACCTCCGAAACACCCCCAAAGACCTTTGTTGTGCTTATATGATCCATAGCTATCATCCAAGCCATCGAGTGGCCTTACTCGACCTGTACATGCGGAGATATTCCCTCCAAAGGGGCACCGCAGGATTATTGGGAGGTGTCCTGTACATATCCGCGTCGTTACATCGATGCCCACGCCCCGCCAAGATGGGAAAGGGCCTGAGATGAAGTTGACCGGCTCCCAGCTTTCATTCAAGCCCTTACATAGCCTCGACCGACATGTGGTTGCCGAGTTACACCCTCGCAANCAATTTGCAAATTTGGGACAACACCCCACATCGTCTCCCAAGCGTCTCGCCGGCAGCCGCAACAACTACCGCAGTCACGCCACGGCTCCCGGCTTTCATTCAAGCCATCACATCGCCTCGATCGACATGTGGTTGCCGAGATACACCCTCGCAAGAGGGCACGGCGACTCCAACAGGGGTTGTCCCATATTGGCAAATTTGGGACAATACCCCACATCGTCTCTCAAGCGTCTCGCCGGCAGCCGCAATAACTAGCGCAGTCATGCCATGGCTCCCAGCTTTCATTCAAGCCATCACATCGCCTCGANTCGCTCTCCTCCCACGTCCAGACCCAGGCCCGTACGAATCCCTGAACCTTGTCTTTTTAAGAGTTGTGCCCATCTGTCCCTCAGGGTTTCTGCTTCTAGCTTTACTTTGGCCGATGGTACCGGTAGCCTGCTTTGTTGAACCCTTCGGCCTCCCCTTCTTAGGGGCCATCTCTGGATTGCCGGGACCTGTTACAGTACCGTCGAGCATGCCTAGCCTCTTAGTCAGTTGGAACTTAACACACTCGTCGACCGCTCTCTGGATCTCTAGGGCCTCGGCGGTGTTGACCGACCTCAATATCTCGCTGACATTTTCCTTACTCTTTGCCATCATGGTGGCAAACGCTCGGCGCTGATCGGCCACCTTTCTCGCATCCTGGGGAAGCGCG